TTGCTAAAAAGTTTCCATGAAATGGCGAAGTGCTTCTCTGACATGCATGCTGATGCATGGTTCAGTACACAAGGTTCAGTATAAGGACTGCAAAGTGATTAAAGCGGTTTTTTATTTTGGAAGCGAAATAAATAAATAAAAACAAGTCCTGGCAAGAGATTCAAGAGATTCAAGCATCTCAGTAGAGCTGATGATTAGTCAAAAATATGTTTTCATCCTCTGAAATGAAATTCTCATCCATTTCAGCAGAACAACAAAACCGTACAAGAAAATAGAATCTGCATATACAGTTATCATCATGTCTTTAAAAACCTATAAGCTTCAAAGTAACAGCAATGATAGGAGTTAAAAGACAACCTTCAGAGGGTAATGCTAATGACAACAATAAACATGGGGAGGGGGGAAAAAATGCAACAAAAACTTGTTCCAAAGATGCTACAAAACTGCTTTTCAAGGAAACCAAAGTTGGAGCATACATACTTACATTCATTTTAGCTATTTTCTGTTCCGCATGCGTTGCATCTCACGCAGCCATTGATTCCATTTCTTTATGGAACTGTGCCAAGGTATAACGTCTTGGTTTAAGAAGGCTGCATCTATCTGGTACAGCGACCTGAGAAAAGTAAAAGTTGTTTTCTGTATACGATTGTTTCAAACATTGCATCTTAGTAACAGAATAATCAAAGTCCATATTTCTTTAAGAAGAAATGTCCACAAATTGGATTTCACATTAGCTAACCAGAAAACACATCATGGATTTTCTTGTCCATGCTGGTGATGAACTGCAGTGGTGAGCAGTCCTCTTCACAGTTCAAGGAGATGAGTAACAAGCTGTACAGCTGATAAAGCTACAGTCCGTGCAATACTTGCTAGGTCTCATAGTCAGCAGATAAAGTTTTCACATTACTCGCTACTTCACTGTCCCAAAGTCTGGAGAGCAAACTCTTAACCAAGCAGACACATTCCTATAATACACAGCATGCACATTTTAAGTAAACATCAGTATTTTTACTTCAAATGAAATGTCAGACTGATCAAAACTCTGCCCCAAGCCACAAAATTCTTAAAATATCAAAGCACGTATATGTTGCATTACTTACGGTTCACAAGCATGTTCTGGTCTGCTTCCTCCATTCTCTCTGCATCCAGCTATCTGACTGCTTTCTGCTCCCATACCAGTGTTGCGTTGAACAGTAAGAGCTACCATTACGGCATGCAAAAGAATTTTTTGTTTCCAGATTGCTCTGCTGCAGCCCTGAGCATAAAAACATACACACCTGAGCTACCCCTCTACATCTTTCAGTTCTGGATAATGGAGAGGTAGAGGGAGAAGGTATTTTAAAAAGGTCAGGCCACTAAGCCCCACTACAAGGACTCCACAGACTATTTTGGGAACCTAGATACCCAGCGCACATGTAGACGCACAGGACAGAATTCATCTCCCTAAACATGGGCATCTAGTGTCAATTAGGTATTGCTGTGAATCCATCAGGCCTCCCGACGCCAGACCAGGACGGCAAAGCTCTTCAGCAGACTAGTCCCATACAGATGTCACAGATACTCTACAGCAACTCAAGTAATACTCAAATTTAACTACACTCCTACATGTGGAGAAATGAATCAAGGTCCTAGGGTAGACTCCATTCGATATTAAGACACAAACATTTGGGTAACTATGAGACAGGTGTTTAAGATCTCATTCCAGTTAGTAGAAATCTGATTAACACAACCAACAGAGTCCAGAGAGCCACTCAGCTCCACCTAATACAGACATCTATGTCTGGTCAGCTGAATTATTGTTTTTGCTCTACTGACAATGGAAACTTCCAGGAAAATGGCAAAATCTAGACTGATGGCAAAGCAAGACAAGAGCATCTCATCTGCCTCCCAGTACAACTAGCCTGGCTCATCACCTTTACTATTTTTGGATAACGGCTACATAGACACCGCAAGAGAGGAGGCATATTACTTTGCATACTGGCCAACATAAACGATTCAGGTGCTTCTCAAGAGAAATTTAAGGGATATAAGATTGAAAAGAACATCTTAATGAAGCAGAAAATAACTCTTAGGGCTAAGTCTTACTTCTACACATACTCGTACGATTTCTTTAAACTTACATAAAGAGGAGCCTAACTGTAGTCAGTAGCATAGCTTTGTAATAAAAGTTGCCTTTTGTGGTGCAAATATTTATTTATTTCCCTGTGTTAAAATTTATCCTGAAGGCTTTACATTTTATTGTGAGCAGCATGAAGAAGTGAAAGAAAATGGTATTTTCTTCATTTCCTTAAAACAGGTTTCTCTTTGTTGGTTTCTAAGCAAGAAGGATTAAACATTATTAAGCTCATCCTTGGCACCTCCGATAGCCGTAATGGAGTAACACTGCATGTATGAAAGAGAGAAATCAGCTTGAAAGAGGCCACTCTTCTAAAATTAAACTCTTGGGAAAACCGAAGCCAAATGTGATCTTGGTTATTCTGATACAATCAATAGGACTCACTCATCATCACTGCAATGAATCAAAACCTGCTGCAGAGAACAAACATAAATACCAAGATTCTTTATTTTATAAAAACAAAGAGCAATAGGTTTGTATCACCTAGACAACCACAGGAAGAAAAGTGTTCTACAAGCAGCAGGCCCAGCAAAAGTGGATTTCCTATGGACTGAGCCACACACCTCCACAAATGATTTGCCAAGCCCCAGCTTCCCTTCTTCCACAATACCTTTGGTCCCTGTCCTCCCATGTCCTTCAAGTCTCCTGTCACATCCTCCAGTTGTGATCCTGAGCCATACACACCGTCAGTGGACTCCTGGCAGACCAAATGGAGCGGATAACTATTTAGTTCAAGTTGGGGGGAAAGGGGCACTCATCCAGGTCTCTGTAATCTTGCCACTGACTTTCACAAAACTTGCAGGAACTAACTTTGCTATTGGAGACTTCCATTTACCTGTCAAACTTGCTTGACAGTGGTTAACAGCATGAAAGATGTTATGGAAGAGGCAGGACTGATTTACAGTGCAGTTGTGTAAGCCAAGCTAAAATATGAGAGAGAAAAATTAAAGACACCCAGTTTAATTGTAGATTGCTTTCTTGACAGCTTAGGCAGGTCATGGTGGGCAATCAAATAACAGAAGATTGGATACAGAAAGTAATGTCACACTACTGAGCCTAGAATAAGAAGAGATGATACTATTTCTACATGAAAAAGCAAGAATTCTGCAAGATAATTGAAGAATGCTGTTGGGAGACATGACAAAGCCAATTGCTTCACTTGCCATCTTTCTCCACCTCCATGCATGCCATGGATGCTCCTGACCTGATCAAGTTGATTCCATTTCCAGATTCACTTATTTTAGACCCATTCAAAAAAATCAGAATAACACCTTTTTCCATCCCCCTACCCCAAAGCTTAGCAATTATGCAGACAGCAGAGAGGAGTCACACCGCAGGAGCAATTCAGATATTCTGCCTTTGTAAAGCAGGGATTGCCAAGGGTTGCACCCTGGCAGGTCTGCGGTAGTTATCCTCAGGGTTGGAAACAGGAGTCCACGTGGGTATGGGGTTGCAAGGATCACAGGAGGAAAAGCTTCAAAACAAAGGCAGCAGAGGGTCACTCTCATTTTCCACTTATCTGGACAAAACAGCTGAGTTAGGGGTCGTCTCTGAAACCTTCCCAGAAAGATCACCACCTGCTGCTGGAGCATTTCAGGGAACCTCTCCCACCTCAACACACGCCTCTGTTTTGGAGGCCTCACTTCAGTTACAGTACTCAAGCTAGAAACAAGGACGCTTTTCTGATTTCAAAGAAAACTTTTTTTCACGCACAAACTCAAAGTGAACATACCCACTTTAACTGAATCAGGTTTACATGTGCAAGCATCAAACTGACTTGGAAACAGTAATTGAAAAGCAGCAGGAGGAAACTATGTGCTAGCATCAGCATATGGTACCTATAGCTATTTTTAGAACAAAAGAAAGAAAGAAGGTTCTCAATGCAGATAAAAATATAGAACCTTCCACTAAGCGCGGAAGTTCTAATATGACTGTGGAGCCCTCCCCTTTCTCTCAAGATTTAAGATACTAGAGTGCAAATTTGAGCAACATGAGCCAGCAATGTGCGCTCGCAGCCCAGAAGGCCAATCATATCCTGGGCTGCATCAAAAGAAGTGTGGCCAGCAGGTCCAGGGAGGGGATTCTGCCCCTCTACTCTGCTCTGGTGAGACCCCTCCTGGAGTACTGCGTCCAGCTCTGGAGCCCTCAGCATAAGAAAGACACGGACCTGTTGGAGCGGGTCCAGAAGAGGGCCACAAAAATGATCAGGGGGATGGAA